TTAGGTTGGGACCCCAAAGTGGGTCATTGACCCAGTTTTAATGGGGTCACCAGGGCTGGCATTAGACTTGCTGGGGCCCAGGGCCGAAGGTGAAGCCCAAGGGCTTCAGCCCTGATTGGTTGGACTCAGGTTTCAACTTCAGTCCTGGGTGGCAGGGTTCAGTTTACAGTCCCCCTCCCCTCGGGGCTGAAGCTCCTGGGCTTCAAAATGCTAGATTTCAATTTTTCTTCTTATCAGTTCTAATTCTAACCAGCTCCAACCCTCATACACACAACATCCAGCCATTTCCACTTGCCCTCCAAAATCCTTTGTCTCTTCCTACTTGTGACTCTCACCCATTCTCCTAATTCTCCCTCTGGCCCTTTGATAATTAAAAAAAATCACTGTGATTTTCCTTTTAGCTTGCTGTGCTGAGGCAAATTAGCACAGTTTGTAATATTACTATCTAGAAACCTGTCCTATTTGGTAAATCAAATAGGTAAATCAATACAGCGTTGATACTTTTTTGGTTATATTACTGTGTTGGTTTAATATCATTATTTTGTCAGACCCATTACCATAGCCAGGAAAATCAATACTCAATATTTATTGATCCCACTCTGGGCCACTTCATGATTAGAGCCCTGCGCAGATACAATATTTTATCCGCATCTGATACGCGATCCGCAAAAATAGTGTGTGGATATAAAGTGGATATCCGCAGATTTGCAAGGCTCTACTCATGGTGTCAATATAGGTATGCATATTAAAACATTTTGTAAAAGGTTATTGTATCTGGACAGAAGCCAAATAATGAGCATGTTATAATTATTTTTATTACACATACACAGTACCAAACCACAATAGGAACTAATGACCTGCAAAATTCCATGAGAAACAGAAAAGCATTTAATTCTACTGTAAAAACATCAGAGAAGCATAATCATGTCTCTTTGACTCTTAGCTTAAATGTGGCAAAACTGATCTTTTTTTAGATCACATCTCACATATTAGCCTGGTGTGAATTATTACTGTTGAATTATAAGCACCTTAAGATAAAGTAGAAGTTTATAAAGGAAGCACTAGTGGTTCTTAATGCTTTAGCTACCTGTATGCATGGCAAGTATATATAGTTCAAACTGTGCTACCATCCATTATGTATAATTTCAAAGACATAATGATTACCATGGGCAAATTGTGGAGTTGCTATGAGCTTTGAGGAAGGGGTAGCATGTAGTTCTGCTGCCAAGGAACAGAGTGGTAATTAAATTGTGACTCTCAGACTCAAAACTTGATCCCTGGTTTCCCCCTTTTGCTTCATGGGGGAAGTAATTTGCATCAGCACTTCACCTGACAGGTTTCACTTCCCACTTTTCCTCAGTTCAGCTAGGCGGCCTGGAGCAACTGTTGTGGAGGTGATTGAAGTCAAGGCTCTGTGCACTCCCCACCACCTTGCACAGGAGGTGCAGTAGTGACCCTACGGAGGCTGCTCTCCCCCACCATTCTGTAATCCACAATATGGGTAGCACACTCAGGAGAGTAAGGGGGCACTTTACACCTCCTTCCTCCATTTCACACAATCTCATCCTATATGGACATTAGGTCTATTAATCTTTTTTTTTAATGTAGCATGAAGGGCAAAGAAAGACCAGATCTGATCTATCATGCTACAATGAGAGTAAAAATACCTTCAAGTTCTCCTTGACTGAAGAGAAACAGGATAAGAGGGAGAAATTATATTCTATCTCTCGGTGAACAGGGGAGTAAATCCCTTATTTTTTAAGCATATCAGTGATGTGAAAATTCTCAGAGTATGGCCCTAAAGGTGTATATTTCAGGGATTACCTGCCAAATAATTTCCTCCAAGATGACATTTCCCTTCATGGTAAGAACCTATTCAGTGCACATTAATGCAGCTAAAAAAATTCTTTTGCGAGACTGAAGGATTGAGGGTGTTTATCTACTTTTCTATAAAGGAGAAAATGTTATTTCACTGCTCTCTGGAAACTCATGATGAGCTAAAGAGAATATATTATCATGATCTAACTGTGGCATACAAGGCTATAGGAGAGTCTTCAAAATCATCCCTTCAGAATTAACCCTTCTGCTTTCAAAGTAATGTGTTCATGAGATTTTAGCAGTCACACTCACCGTTGAAGTTAAGCTGCTAAAACCAAGGACTGTGCCTCAAAAATAGAGGGCCAAATTCTGATACCATTACTACAGGGAATAGTTCAGTACATCACCCTTTGAGTAGTCTCATAGAGTCAAGAGGACCACTCATGGCGTAAGGTAAAACCAGGGCTGAAAGTAACTTAAAGGACTTACCGGTACTCCGGAGTCCTTGGGAGGGGGAGGGGCCTCAACCGGAAGAGGCATGGCCTCTACCAGAAGAGGCGGGGCCTTTAAATTCCTAGGCTCTTTAAATCAGGATTTCAAGTGCCCAGGGCTGGGGCAGCAGCAGCTGGTTTAACGGGCCCTGGAGGGTAGGGGCAGTGGGAGCCCCGGACCCTTTAAATCGCCACCTGAGCCATGCTGCTGGAGCCCACGGGTAGCGGCGGTGGGGCTCCGGCGGCAAGTTAAAGGGCCCGGGGCGGTAGCGGCGGCCGAGCCCCTGGCCCTTTAAATAGTCCCTGGAGCCCTGCTGCCGGAGCCCTGGGGAGGCGGTGGCGGGGCTCCGGCGGCTATTTTAAGGGCCGGGGCGGTAGTGGCTGCCGCAGCCCCAGACCCTTTAAATCGTCGCCGGAGCCCCGCCACCGCTACCCCAGGGCTCCGGAGACGATTTAAAGGGCCCGGGGTGGTAGCTGCGGCAGGCGCCCTGGGCCCTTTAAATCGCCACCCGAGCCCCGCTGCCGCTTCCCCAGGGCTCTGGAAGCAGGGCTCTGGGGATTGGTCATGCCTGACTAACCTAATTGCCTTCTATGAGGAGATAACTGGGTCTGTGGATGAGGGGAAAGCAGTGGATGTGTTATTCCTTGACTTTAGCAAAGCTTTTGATACGGTCTCCCACAGTATTCTTGCCGCCAAATTAAAGAAGTATGGATTGGATGAATGGACTATAAGGTGGATAGAAAGCTGGCTAAATCGTCGGGCTCAACGGTTAGTGATCAATGGCTCCATGTCTAGTTGGCAGCCGGTATCAAGTGGAGTGCCCAAAGGGTCTGTCCTGGGGCCGGTTTTGTTCAATATCTGGAGGATGGCGTGAACTGCACTCTCAGCAAGTTTGCAGATGACATTAAACTGGGAGGAGTGGTTGATATGCTGGAGGATAGGGATAGGATACAGAGGGACCTAGACAAATTAGAAGATTGGGCCAAAAGAAATCTGATGAGGTTCAACAAGGACAAGTGCAGAGTCCTGCACTTAGGAAGGAAGAATCCCATGCACTGCTACAGACTAGGGACCGAATGGCTAGGCAGCAGTTCTGCAGAAAAGGACCTAGGGGTTACAGTGGATGAGAAGCTGGATATGAGTCGACAGTGTGCCCTTTTTGCCAAGAAGGCTAACGGCATTTTGGGCTGTATAAGTAGGGGCATTGCCAGCAGATTGAGGGACTTGATCATTCCCCTCTATTCGGCATTGGTGAGGCCTCATCTGGAGTATTGTGTCCAGTTTTGGGCCCCACACTACAAGAAGGATGTGGAAAAATTGGAAAGAGTCCAGCGGAGGGCAACAAAAATTATTAGAGGGCTGGAGCACATGACTTATGAGGAGAGGCTGAGGAAACTGGGATTGTTTAGTCTGCAGAAGAGAAGAATGAGGGGGGATTTGATAGCTGCTTTCAACTACCTGAAAGGGGGTTCCAAAGAGGATGGATCTAGACTGTTCTCAGTGGTACCTGATGACAGAACAAGGAGTAATGGTCTCAAGTTGCAGTTGGGGAGGTTTAGGTTGGATATTAGGAAAAACTTTTTCACTAGGAGGGTGGTGAAGCACTGGAATGGGTTACCTAGGGAGGTATCTCCTTCCTTAGAGGTTTTTAAGGTCAGGCTTGACAAAGCCCTGGCTGGGATGATTTAGCTGGGGATTGGTCCTGCTTTGAGCAGGGGGTTGGACTAGATGACCTCCTGAGGTCCCTTCCAACCCTGATATTCTATGGTTCTATGATTCTGGCGGCAATTTAAAGGGCCTGGGGCTCCAGCCACTGCTGGGAGTCCGAGGCCCTTTAAATTGCCGCCAGGGGAAGCCGATCCTCCCCGGTATGGCGCACCAGCTCTTGCGTACTGGCTTACTTTCACCTCTGGATGAAACCCAACATGAGTAAGGATAATAGAATCTGATTTATAGGGATTAATAATATACTGGAGACAACTGTCACATTAGTTGTAATGTGGAAAATGATCTTTAAACCTAAAGATGACAACACTTATATGAAATATGACCAGCGTAGCTATGCATCAGTGCTGACTTTAAAGGTTTTATGCAGAAGAGGTAATTTTTAAATAGCGCGATTACACTAATTGACTTCTGTATATGTTTTAATTGGAATTTTAAGGATTTGATTACCCACCAGTAAGAAAAAAAGATTTGATTACTCATACGTGTTAGACTATTGTATACAATACATCTTAACATTGTAATTTTAGAAGTAAATTTAAAATGTTAAAATGAAATTAATTATCTCTTGTTCCACATCACCGCTATCAACAGCAGGTAACTAACAATGCTGGCTGCTCTTAGTAATAACAATATTATCTCTTAATATTCTATTAATGGAAAATTTATTGAATAAAATCCCTGCTGTGCCATTCTAAATTCTTACTGGGACCAAGAGAAATAATCCAGTTTTAACTGAGATTCAATTACTCTTTCTTTTCATTACATTAAACATTTAAGCTCCGTGAATATGAAGAGTGTGATGCTGCACTGGAACAGGACTGCCCAGAACTTTTAAGAAGTTTATTAAGAGATAAATATTTACAAACATTTCTGAGTAACTACTGATTTTTTTCTGTAGTATTATTCCTTCACAATGAGGCACTGTGTGTAATTTTAATCAATGTACATGTTTGCCTACTCACTCTGTTTTTGGAACTTCTTTTCTAAGCCAGTAGAAGTCAGACTGGGCCAGATATTTGCGGGTCTGCAATACGTTGCCAAAATAGTCATTTTCTGAAAACTTCATCTGTGTAAATAAATCATAACCATTAAACATGATCAACAGACACAAAGATGACATGAAAAGAATCAGAACTTTGACAGTAACGAGATAATAATAATGACTACAAATGATTTGGTTAAGGTAATGACATTATTCACATTACAACAGTTAGGATAAAGTCCACCCCATTACAGAAGGCTTCCCCAGAACCTCCACACTGTGGAATCTCTAGGGTCGCCCTGCATAAGGGAAGGGTCATGAGCAGAGCAGGTATATAGGAGGATCTCAACACTTTGCACATCACATTGGATGGCAGGATGGTCATATGGTAAAGACAATGAGGTGGGACTCAGGATGTTGGGGTTCAATTCCCTAACTCTGACACCAAACATTCTGGGTAACGTTAAGCAACACTATTTCATTAAGAGTTTTGTTTCAAAATATTTTCTGTGCCATTAGCTAACTGGTTTTGGATCCCTTATTTACCGTATATAGGTGTCAGTAAGAAATCTTTTTCTAAATAAACCAAATACTCATACCATTTTTAAAACTAGGGGGCTTTAAATATTTTTATTATTTTCTTCTATCAATTATTGCCATAATCAAATGTTATACCCAGATATCTACTATACCATGGGAGGCTTAAGTGTTTTTCAGTATCTAGCCATACAAATTTGGGTATAAGATAATGTTAAAAATTGCCGGGACAAAGCAGAATTACATTTAATCCAGGTCTAGGGCACACACAAAGAGTTAATAAGCCTGACAACTGATGAGTACAAGCTAAGCCTAAGCATGCATTTAAACATGAGAAGTTTATGAGCAAAAATTGATCTTCCCTGGGAGTTTTAATAATTGACATCCGTTATTTATTTATTTTTCAAATTACAACCGAAGGACTAATAAATGTTTTATCACAACAGTGGAGACAGGTACAAACTATGATTGTTTACATTGGCTAGCTCAGAGGATTGATAATTGGATACAAGGGATTTCACCTGTGGGTCACTGGTTCAAATCCAGGCTGTGCTGTCAGTGACTGTAGGTCATTATGATCTGATTGCTATTTAGTGGCTTATGTGAAATCAATCAGTTGCTCAGAACAATTTCTAGAGCACAAATATCTACTTCCTATAAATCACCATAATAGGTCAATCAGTAGGGGGTTCTCTATATTAGTGCTTAAAATGAAAAACAACCACATTTACTGTTTTAGGTGAGTCATTTAATTCTGAATTAGAGAGGTGATAAGTCAGCATTAGATTCAGACTAGAGCTGTGTGAAATTAAATGTGTCAGAAGATTTCTAGGGAAATATCTGCCATATTGGTTAGTGCAATTTGCAGTCCCTAAAATTTCACTTCGAGAAAAAATGTTGATGATATGCTATGTACATGTTGGAAATGTGAAAAACATGCATTTCTACAGGTATTATTATGTAATGCCATTTTCACATGAAAACGGGCCCATTTTGCTTTAAAAAGTATGCAACAAAATGTTCAAAGAGAAGTGATGTTTGAGTAATTTTGCATTTCATTGCAAATATTTTGCACACCTCCCCCTCAAAGGAATCTAGCAGTGCTGCTCTACTATCACTCATGTTAGCAGCTTTTACAAATATGAGGGTTCACGTTGCCAGAAGTCTCTAATCTATTACCAAATTTCTCAAATATGACTAGCCATGCAAGAAAAAAAGGCTGTTAATATTACATAAAACCTGCTCATATCCCAATCATCCTTTCAAAAAATTCTCAACCTTGGGACAAAGTTACACTTCATTACCAACCTACTGTGTTGCATTTTTAGGGCCCAGACATACAAACATACTGCTTATGTCAGTGAGTCCATCACCTGAATGGCTTCTCCTCTATCCCATTAACACAGATGGTAAAGGTTCACAATATCTCCTCTCTACACTGTTTCCCTCGGCAGGGACCAGACTTGCTGAGTGTTTCCTTCTTAGAGTTCTGGGTGAACTACGCCATATTTAACAATGCCTTGTTTGGTTGGTTTTTGTGTGTGTACTATCGTCAGTTATACTGGAGCAATTTTTTGCAGTGCTACCATTGCAAAAGAGAGTCATGCCAGCATGTCGAGTAGCTTAGTTTGTCCATGCAAACAACCTGGTGATAAAGTAAATATTTCTCCCTTCTGTTATTTGATCTTGATGTAGATGTAAGTACTGTGGGTGGCTATTCCAGGTTTTCCTATAGCTGGAAACAACATGTTCTCCAGGAAGGATGGAAATACTTCCTTTCTCCCACCCTTTGTCAGTCTTGTCTACGGAGATTATCTTTTACTATGTGTTTGAACAGCGCCTAGCACAATAGGGCTGTAATGCTGTCTCTTATCGGGGGCTTCTAGGCGCAGTTATCAATAGGGGAAAACAACCCAAGCATTGAATAATAATTTGTAACATTTGGGGAGAAAACGTATTAGTTTGTTGAAGACGTTTATTTTGAGGGGAATGTTAGGGGGTTCTTTTGTTTTATTATTAAATACAAAATTTGTGCTGGAATATTTTTATCTTGAAAAGAATACTTTGAATGTATTAAAACTGCCCCGCCATATTTTACAGTTAATAGGCCTGGTCCAGCCTCTTGCAGACAGAGGTGGAAACAAGGAATATCTCTGTTGAAAATCAAGAAAGCTACCCTGGCATCAATCTGGTGCAAGTTAGAGGAGAATCAACCCCAATATTCAGACTGTCATAAGTCCAGATCTTTCAGTCCTCATGATGGCATGACTCCTATTTAAATCAATGTGGATTCTTCTTGTATGAAGACTGCTGGACTGGACACATATAAATTAGATTTGGAAAAGATCTATTAGATTACTTAGTCCACCCCCCTACCACGGCAGGACTGTTTCCGAAGATGTATTTTCTATTGCTTTATCTTGTTTGCTTTTAAATCTCTTACCATGAGGTTTAATAGCATCTGGTCGATACAATGTAAAAACATTAATAAAAGAAGTGACTTGTTTTCATTTTTCAGTCTATTTTAACTCATCACAGACAGGACAGTCCCCTCAGTGATGACAAAGCCAGTATTTTACACTGGAACTTTATTTCAATGCAATATTTGGCACTTAACAAGTCTGCTGCAAGCTCTAGAGACTGATTCTAGCAACCATCAATTTATTCTAATGATAATTCTGGAAAAATGACTCATGATGGCTATGGCTGGCCACACCGAACATTAAATCACCCCCTTGTGTCTGTGCATAATGTAGCTGGTATCCTCAGCTCCCATGCCTCCTGTCGGCCATCTGCCTCTAGCTGGGTCTTCTGTGGCTCAGCCCTCCAGCAAAGTCACAAAATTCAAACCACTTCCAGGATAACAGAAAGGTCCAAATGAAAATCCAAACAAAATGAATAATTTTTCAGCCATGGTGGGCTACTGAAGTCTACTATTTCTACTATATCAGGTCTTCCTCCCACAGGAACCTACTGTGCTCCCTGGGGGTTTCTCCCTGTAGGAGAATCCCGCCTCCTCTACGGTCTCTCTCTTTTCCAGGACCCACCACAGGGATAAATTCTTCCTCACACTGCCTAACTCAAGCCCTTCCCAGGGAGGGGGGAGGGAAAACTTCCCTATCTCCTCTCTCCTGGGTCTTCGCTATGTGTGGAGCATGACTTGTTAGGGTTCTTTCCCCTGCCTTGATTGTGATGGGGATTAAGCAGCATCACAATAATCAATCTGTTGTATTGGCCAAGTTATACATAATACACAATGTTATTGTAAAACAAATATTCCAATGGGCATGTTGTAAAAAGAGTCTCCCTAGCTTGGTTGAGGCCCCTTGCCACACCCAGTTACCATCACAGGCTCGGCCCAATCCCAGGCCCCAACCTCTTAGTCCTTGCAGTGGGCCCCACCATTGTGGGCCTGCTTACTTTATTTAGGGGAACGGGAAAAGCAGAAGTTCAGAATCAGAGAACAAGCCCCTCCTGGGGTTAGCAAAAAGGTCAGTGGTACCACCTTCCTACAGTGGTGCCTGGGTAGCAGCTTTACTGGAGTCATTACGGCCAGGCAGGCAGCCACTTCAGTCTCTCCCTATTGGGCTTGCCACTAGGGTTCAATGGATCCTCGCAGAGCTGGGGGATCTCTGGCATGGGGGGATTCCTCCTACTGCTTCAGCAGCCACTCCCTTCTCATGGCTTCCCCCTTGTTGACTGCAGCTTCCTCCTTTTATAGCCCTCCTCGCTACCATGCATGAATGTCAGGACCAGAGAAGCAGGGCTACCTTAGCGCACACAACCTCCCCATATCCTTCCCTGTCAGCATGGGGTTTATCCACCCCATCACAATGCTCAATTCTTTCCTTTGTGATTAAGCTAAGTTGGCACCGAGACCGGGCGTTTAACTTTATTGTTCTTTTAAGATTTCAGTCTTGAGAGTGTGCTCAATTCAGAATCATAATGGAATGGGGCAAATCAAGCAGAAGGCCACAAGCAAAGTGTGCCATGCAAGGGAAAAAATGTAAGTGTTTTCTGGCACCACCACCTTTATTTAAAAATGATGTAACTGTTTTGATTTTCGATGGCTGAAAGGAAAAGACCAAAAAACAGTTGTGACATACTGTAAAGGAAGAAAACTATATACTGTACACTTACTGTTTTGATGTCTTCATTAATATACGTGTCATTCATTATAAACTCAGGGTAGCCCACTTTTGCCAAAACCGCTTTTGCCTTTGAAAGAAAAAAAATTGGATGGTTTAAGCATTTAAAAATGCATTTCTTCCCTCATTGAAAGGACCGCACAGTACTATACATCTCAAATGGCACCCGAATTTCACCTTAAACAGCTTGCTTAGGTGCAACAAATCAGTTTTAGTTTATAACACTGAGGGCCACATTGAGCTGTCAGTTTACATAGTAGCTCCACCGACTCCTGTAGAGTTACTACAGAATTACAAGTGTGCTTGAGCACATAATCTGGTCCTAAGAGTTGAACCCCACTAAGAATTGCAAGCAAAGTTAATCTAATGGTCACAACTTATATCTTTTTAGTGTTTTAACATCCTATGAGCTGTATAGCTACTATAGGACAGATGAAGCAAGCCCAGTTATTCAGATGTATGCGGGCCATGGATATGAATAGGTCAGAACCTCAGCTGGGATAAACACAGCATAGTTCCACTGACATCAAATAGGTCTCACCAGACAAGGATGTGGCTACGGTTTTCTGACGGAGAATGTGGTTTCTTCAGTTCATGCTGTTGAACTGTTTTGCTCATCTACCTGAGCTGTCTAATTAAAGTCTTTCCACTCCACCTCTGTTTTAACAGACTCCATTTCTTAAAATACTTGTTCCCAATAATAGCACAGAATCCTGTGTGTTCCTATGCTCAATACAAAGGCGATAGGAACATTAAAATAATGCAATTCACATTTTTACATTAACTTGGATTTATTCTGTTTCACATTTGTGAGAATTTGCCTTAGTGTTTATATACAGTACATCTTCTATATATATATGTATACACACACAAAAAACATATTTATGTATGCACACACAGACACACACATACATATATATATATATACACATTTTCAGCCAGGGTAACTGTTATGCCTGCACTTACGTTTCATAAAATCATGATACAAATTGGAAACAATTACATAAACTAACTTTATAATACATTTGTGGATTGCACCCCAAGGACATCCATCCATAGTTACTATGGAAACAATTTATTTCCTAGAGCAAAAGCAGAGAGAGAGAGAGAGAGAGAGAGAGAGAAAGTCTAAAAGATGAGGGGGGAAACCAAACAAAATAAGACACATGCATGGAATAAGCTAAAAGGGATAGAGTGGGATGGTATAAAATGTATATTTCCATGTTGTTTAGGAAGACAGATATCAATTTACCTTTTAGGACTATAGGACTTTTCCTTAAAACTTTCCTCTAGTAATGTGATCCTTTCAACACAAAAATCTGAGACCATGTGGAGGCTGAAAGAGGAGAACCCTAATGAACTACATGGCCCTTTCAAAATAAACCATCTTCAGCATATAGGCTCCAATCCTGCATGCTGATCTGTGTGAGAGTACCCCTGCACCCATATGGAGCCCCTTGACTGCAGTGGTTGCCTAGATTGAGTGATTTATTTTACCTTCCTCTGCAGCATGGGGCATGGGGTCACTTGCAGGTTTAAACTAGTGTAAATGGTGAGTTCTCTGTAACTTTAAGTCTTTAAATCATGATTTGAGGACTTCAGTATCTCAGCTAGAGGTTAGGGGTCTATTACGGAAGGGGAGTGGGTGAGGTTCGGTGGCCTGCAATGTGCAGGAGGTCAGACTAGATTATCATGATGGTCTCTTATGGCCTTAAAATCTGTGTGTCTATGTGATGGGGAGAAGCAATGCTACAATGTTTTCCCCCCAACATCCTTTTTTTCACTTCCCTCATTTTCAAAAAAACAGGATCTTTGTCTCTTGAGAGTTAATCTGTTCCTAGGGCTTATTTCCCAGTTGAAGTTATTGTCTTCTACTAGTGACATCACAATTAATTGTTGTAGAGATAATTAAGATGTCACAAACAGAAGATTACGACTTCAGGTTAGAAATTAACAGCAGGAACAGATGAACTCTTCAGCAAGAAGGATCCCATTGTCATACAAATATCCCCAGTGACAGAAAAACAATAGAAGACAAATGCTCTACAGGAAATATGAAATGAGCCAAATTACTTGTAAAATAGAATGTTTTCTTAGTTTTTCATGAGGCACAGCAGGTACTGAAGATTTTTTTTAAAAAAATGCTTGAGAAAACAGGAAAGAACCAGAATTCAGCTGTAGACAGCATCTATTTTTTGCCCTGCTTATGCTGTTTTGTCCAGCTTATGCTGTTTTGTCCAGTTGACTGAACTTTTGTGATGGATTGGAAAACTTCAGTACATTACTTTAGGGTTTTCAATGCTATTTGCTACTATATCAGTCTCAAGAAAGCAAGTAGGAAAACTCATCAGTTTTAATTTCCACTAAGTTGCCTGCTTAAATGAGTTAGGTTAGTCTCAAATGTCTTGCATGTATTCCAAAGTAATCATTTTAATCACTTAATTAAGCAATCTTTGTGTTGCATCTGCATAATTGAGCCCTTAACATTTTTGATTAAACCAACAAAAGAAACAAAATAATTTATAATAGCTGATGAACAATTGCCCTTTTCAAAACAATTCAAAGAATCAATGTGGATTAACTGCTCCAATACTGCGTTGACTTTGAAAGCTGCAATCAGCACAAAATGTGGATCAAAAACATTGTTAAATATATTTAGGCAAATAACAAAAAGTACACTAAATGATAGTATCCCTTAAAAACACTGGCATTTTTCAGACTACCTTCCAGAGCCTTCGCAGCTGTAAACCTCACAGAATTCTGAAACCATTTTAGGCCCAGCAATCTCAGTGAGCAGGTCAATCAAGCATAGTCGTCACGCTGAGAGGAGCAAAGGTGGACCTTAGCCTCAAACCAGAGGTGTTAATGGTCTGATCTTGACAAGTGCATACTGCTCTCCTCCCTGCCCCACTCAGAGATTTTGATTTCACCTTGAAGAGTTCATCTGCATAGACATTAAAATCTTTCAGAACCATAAAACTTTTCTGACCTAGAACTCTGTCCATTCAGCCAAGGAAGCTGAGGTATAGGAGGACAGCCTGTACAACCCTGTTATTCTCATTTTAAACCTATTCCATTAGTCACACACAAGGTGGACTCTCAAACCCATCCATTTTTGGAGCGAGAAACATCCTACATTTAAGGGCAGATGGAACAAGTTCAGCCATGCCACCTCCCCATGGCTGAGGCTGAACAAAATGCCCTTCAAGATATATCTTGGCTACAGAGTCCTTTCCTCCAACATCCTTTCCCAAAGAAACCCAGCTGTGGCCCAATGGCCACTTTCAACTCATTCTCTTCCATACCAAATCATTTGGGATTCGAGGCTGCTAGCTTAGTTTATACGCTGGATTGTAGGTCAAGTGTGGCTGAAAAAACCACCAATTACTGTTGAATGGCAGCCTGGCACTTTGTGGGAGAAAAAAGGACAGTTTAGAGCTATCACTTTTTCCCTCTAAGCCTCATCCCCTCTACCCCAAAGATCCCTTATTATCACCTCTTAACATTTCCCTCTTTTTGTATGTGTTTCAGTGGTGAGATGCCAGTTGTGCACCATTGATAGATATTTGGTTCATGTCTGTGATACTATCAAAATGGCCAATCAAGAGTGAGGCTTTGGACAATCTGCTTCCTAATAGCAAGTTTAACAACTGATTTAAATATCACTGACAGCCAATTGTTATTTACCATTTATTTCATATTGCAGTATATGTATTGTGTGTGCGCGTGGGAGAGAGAGAGAGGGAAGGAGAGAGAAAGAGAAAAAAAAATCCTGGCTAAACTGATATCAGTGTAAGATTTGCTATTGACTTCACCCGTAATTTTTTCCCCATTTCTATTCATTCCAAGTGTATTGCAAACCAGATGGCTGTAGATGCAAAATGAAATTTAAAAAAAAATTAACTTGCCTTGGCTTGCCAGCCTAAGTCAAATGTTTGTGTTTCAGAGCAAGAGAACATCATTCTGTTCTATTCAGATTCTTCTACCATGCCTTGGTATCTGAGCATTACAAGTGACCCTCTCACTGATCATTTTAATTGCTGGGCCTGATTTTCATTTACACTAAGGTCCCTTTAAGCCCCCCTGGCAATGTAAAGGGTCATTAAAGTGGAAGTAAGTTACAGTTACCTTAAATTACACCCATCTATGTATATTTTTACTAGAGTATATTCATAGCTTAAACAAACTCCAAAGAAAGACTATCATGATTGTCAATGTGCTACATTATATCTCATTTTTATCATGATATAAAAGTACTTGGCTTCAAGCACTAACATATCCCTGTACATTGAAATAATACTGTATCTACTGTAAAAATGTTTTTGAAATACCTGCAAAAATTAAAATTCATGAGTATGAAAAAGCTTTTTTGTACCAACCTTAAGAAGATTATTTTTATTTTTGGAAAGTCTAAAAAATTAAAAATTAATACAATTATAGTTCACAGAAAAATTAGCATGAAATCTAGTTCGAAAGCTAGAATCGTTCATGGCAAATAATGTTCCATTTAATTACAAAGATTAATTCATCCTTTATGTACATGTCTGGTCTTTTCATTTTTCATTGAAAATATAGGATTCCAGTGCCATCTGGCAAAATTGCTGCACACATATCGCTGGCATATATTTTAGTTTTAAACACAGAAAAGAGGAAGAAAATAGGGTGATGGAAATTTGTAAAACGTAGTGAGGTACAAATATGGGGCTTGAACCAACTCCCAGAGACATCAGTAGACAGGCTCCTACTGACTTCACTGGAAGTTGGATTGGGCCCATCACAGTGATTTTGCCCCAGATCCCTAAGTGGCCCCCTCAAGGATTGAACTCACAACCCTGGGTTTAGCAGGCCAATGCTCAAACCACTGAGCTATCCCTCCCCCCAATGATGTATTTTATTTCCTCAGCTGGTGCAACATAAAACGATTCGTGAACAGCAAACTCTACAATCAAAAGTGAAGTGGACACTCAAACACAAACCCTTTTATTGCTTGGTCTAAAGCGCTAAATGAAGTTATCAAGAGTGCTTGATCTGTGCAGAGCACACTACAGAACACAGCTAGTCATCAAACTG